TCTTTCCCTCTTATTTTGTCCATATGTCATTTTTCATGGATACTCTTCACAGTTTACCACTATACATCTGTCTCTCCATGTTCCAGGTTCTCAAAAGTCTGTGCATATACAGACAAATAATGGCAGCTTCACATATCAAATATATGGTCTTTATGTATAGCCCAATATCACAAATTTGCCTCAAGGGGCTTTACAATCCTTCTGTCTTTAGACCCTTTAATGGGAAAAGGAAAAACACCTTCAGCAAACCTTTTAACGGAAAAGCAACAGAAGGGGTCCCCGCTTCCAGGACAGACAGACATGCATCAAATGTGTGTACAGAACAGAGCACATAGCAGGTTTATAATTTGTGCTTTGTGTCTTTAATTGTGATCGAGATTTGCCAGTTTGACTTTCAGTGAGGTTGTTCAAATGTTTTCAGAGTCCTCAGCCAACAGACAGCAGTTTGAACCTCGGGGAAAATCACTAAAAGTGATGGTACAAGGTTGTCACTCAGTGCTTTTTCCCATTTCTTTCAGTCAAGCACAAGGTTCCTCTTCATCAAATGAGGAGATCCAGCTCCACTTGCTTATGATTATATAGGAATTAACAAGTTAATTACATGCTTAAGCTTTTATCCAGCAGTGGGAGAACCAGTTAACCTCTAGTCAACTTCAAGGGAGGGCTGTAATTAGGATAGATAGCCAGATGGGAGAGGTGGAAGGAGATGAACAGAGCCATCCACTCAGGATTCAGCCCAGAGTCAGAAAACGACGATCGAGTCGCTGTTCATATACTCCAAATTCTGCAGTAGGATTTGAGGGTGAAGCAGGTTGATGAGCATAATCTCCTCAAAGGAAGGTTTCTGAAGCAAAAAAGGTTTTAAACTGCTGTAAAATGTTCATCCCTTTCATTCTCCAGCAGAAACATACTCTGCTTTCAGATGTTAGCTTGTGTGCACCTTCAAGCAAGTTGTCCCAGTGGTCAACTTCAATATATACACTGAGGAGCAATATACAGTGGGATTCAGACCCCTCCACGTTTTGCACACTTTGCTGTGTTGTAGATTTCACTAAATTATTTCTGTTTGTTTGGATATAATGGCAATTTCTGTCCATCCATTTACCCTCAGTAACCTAACCTCAAGACTCGGAAGCAGTTTCCACCCCAGAGCCAACACTGAACTGAACTCTGCTCTGCTTTCTCATCCTCTTAATATGTCCTATCTCCCAGGTCCCCTCACACCCCCGCCCCACCATCATGGCCTTTTAGGTGCAAACTGTTGAGTGCAGTATTCATCCTGCTGCTTACACGTTTATCTTACTATTTCTAATGTGTTCTAGATGCACTATTTGCTCCTGATTCTTCTTATTAATAGTTATGTAAATGTGTCTGCTCTCTAATTTTTCTCTCTTCTTTTTGTCAATTTATTCATAGTTATTTATGTGTTTCTGCTTCTCAGGGACACAAAGTCAGTTTTGTTGTAATAAAAAAATGTGCAATGACAATAAAGGTATTCTATTCTACTCTATAAAGAAGTGAAAACATGTTTTTAGAAATGTTTGTAACTCTATTAAAAATCAAGAACAGACACTGCTAACTTGGCTGTAGGTGCTTGGTCCTGTTATTTTCTGCTTAACTTTTTATATGCATTCATATGTGTGAGAAATATTCAAAGTGACAGTAATGCATGCTGTATATTAAATTGAGATATTTCATTTGTGTTTGTGTTTTCAGGCTTTTCCAGGTAACAGTAATGCAGACAGTGTGGTTCAGTACAAGCTGCAGCAGCCTGTGATTGCTCGCTTCCTCCGCCTCTTTCCTCTGGACTGGAACCCCATTGGGAGGATCGGACTCCGGCTGGAGGCCTACGGATGTCCACACAGTGAGTCTTAACTTCTTCAGTGATTTGGTTGTTCTCCGGCCTTTCTGCTTGTGATGTCAAATTTATCCTTATATTATCCTTTAATGATGTCTCTGTGTTTGTACTAATGATTATGAGTTTGCAGGGAAGTATGGAGAGAACAGCTCTATTATCTGTTGAAACTAGATGGGGTCAGGTTGGTGACCTTGACTAGGGCGTTCTGCTGTCTCAGCCTCCGGATTGCCCTGACTCCCTTGCACTCCCCATGAGAGATATTGGCACCTTTTTAGTTACTTTTTTACCTGGAAGTTCTTAAGTAAACAGACTCACTGCAGTTTGCTGGAGACACGTTCGTTCTTGGTAAAAACCAAATTCTGCCTCATATCTTCATCTTACTGTATTAAAATAGCCTTGGTGCTTTGGCTGAGCACTGCTCTCACCTGTTTTGCTGCAGTCCAACTTTCCCCCCTCAGTTATTCATCATAATAGATCAAGTGCAAAGATGATTTATGGTCAAATTGTTTGTATCCTTTAGAACTTTGTTTGCTGCTGTCCCCTCTGGAAAAAGATGAATTAGGAGAAACGCTGAACATATGGATTTTGATAAATATAGTGTAGTGGTTTGGAAATATTTATGAACACAATAGCTACATTTGTTTAATATGCTTCTTAGCCAGTGCACCAGTTGGCAGAGAAGGCTCATAGTTATCTAATGGTGCATGCACAGAAGAATCCTGTTTAGAATAAACAAATGTAATAAATTAAAAGGAGCTGAAATCTGCTGCTAGTAGCAAAGAGTTTATCAGAGTGTGAAAATACAACCAGTCTAACAGCTTTGTTATCATTAAAAGGAGATTTAGAGGAAGAACAATAGGTGAACAACAGAGTTTTCCTAACAGCCACAGGTGTCCACACTTCATCAGCCAAGTGTATAAGAATCATCAGTGATATAAACTGAAAATCATAAAAAGAAATAGGGACACTTTTTTGTAAAGCTTAGTTTGCTGTGAACACACAGTACACAATACACAGTACTGTACAACAGGAGCATTACTGCACCTGAAGTGCTTGTGTGATTGCGTGTGAGTCTTAACATGAGGGAGTTAAAGACTTGCCAATTTCATTAAAAAGTTCAGTCAGATTAGTTGTAAAGGAAACTGATGATGAATTCAGCTGCTGTTCTTTTTAAACAGCTCAACATTTGCTGTCCACTATTTGCTGCCGACACATCACACACTCCACAACACCTACACCCTGTTTACTACACCTAACCTTAGCCCAAATCCCCAGCAAGCAGTGGACACTAAAGGAGAAATTTATTGATGACATGTGATAAACAGGAGACAGATTCAGTCCTCACCGTCTGTCATGCCCCCTGCTGCAAACACAATGCACAGGTAACAGCAGAACATCTGTCCAGATGTTGGTATTTGTGAGCTGTTTGTAGTGCTGTGTGGGCGTTATTTAGTGACCTGTAAATCCTTCATCATGTTTCAGAAACTTTCACAGGGTTACGTGTAATTAACTGCAACTCAGTCACATCTGGTGTGGACTTGAATACTCGTAACACAGCAGTACATTCCTCCACCCTGCCACACTGAAAGAATAAATTCAAAGCATTGATTTATACGTGGGCAAGAGAATATGATCATTGGTACTCTGCTGATTTTGTTCCAGGTTCTGGTTTGGGTGTTTCATGGTAAGGTCTTCACTCCTGTTGTCTCTGTTTTGTTTTTCAGCCTCTGATGTGGTGAGTTTGGATGGCAGCAGCAGTCTGGTGTACAGGTTGAGTCCTGGGTTGAGGCGGACATCCAAAGAGGTTGTCTCTCTGAATCTTAAAACCCTGAGGAATTCTGGGACACTGCTGCATGCAGAGGGATGGGGTGGACTCAGCCTCAGTCTGGAGTTAGAGAGAGGAAAGCTCCTGCTGCTTCTTAGACAAGGTACTATTTTAAACTGTTTCTGTATTCATCATCAAAATAATAAAGAGCCATATATGCCATTGCTTTTCATTCAATAGTTAGCCAAAATGCTCAGAAACACCAGTCTCATGATATTGAGGAGCAGACCAAAAACATAAGAATCTTACACTAGTCCACTAATGATTAATCTTAAAGCCACAGTATGTAGGAGTTTCCTGCTACTGCTTCTTTAAGTTACATACTGTAGCTTTAAGCACTTTGAGATCTGTAAAAATGAAAGTTTGGCAGGCGAACGCATTTCCCTTACAAAATGCCCAACAGGCACTACACCTACTACTTACATTACTTCCAGTAATAAAAATTCAGCTGAAACAATTAGACAGATTGGTTCTACTCTCTGAGTCACATTATGTCCCTATTACTGTAGGATCTACACTATACAAGGTTGAAGATGTTATACTGTAAACCCTCTGAAATCACTTCAGCTTGGTTTTGGTCGGGTGAGATGGCCGACATACAAGCTGCCACCTGATTAGTTCAGATCGTGGCTGGCTTTCTGCTGCTGCATCTCTGGCTACTTACTGCCATGATGGATGGTTCCCTTTTGGTGTAGCATGTGTTAGGGCAGGACTGTGCACGTGTTGATGCACGGCTTAAGTCTGTACAGAGCGTGCGTGTGTAAACAGGGTTAAACCAGAGGTTTTCAGGCTGCCTTGCTGAATCATTCTCACCTGTCATCATGAATCCAACCTGGCTGCTGAAATATGTTCTCCCTCCCTCCATCCATCCATCCATCCATCCATCCTGTTTGTTTGCCCAAACATCTCCCAAACATTTATCCTTCTCTTTCTTTTCATCTTTCTTTGTGTTCACCTTCTCTGCCATCTGTTTCTCACAAATCCTCTCCATCCCAGCATCCTTAATCTTCCTTCTTCCATTCCTGTCTCATACAGTATGTCTGTTCTATCTCTTATCCATCAGCCGCCCACTTCCCTCTGTTCCTTCTTTCTCCTGTCCTCTCAGAGAAGGTGAACTTGTGAAATTGAAATGTCAACATAAAATTAAAGAAAATAATATTTTAAAGAACAGTTATGCCCAGAGTTAATGTTCCCATTAAATATTGAATGCATGTAAAGAACCAGTTTATCACCAGTAGAAAGGGCATCAGGGTAGAAAGTAGTTAACCTTGAAAAACTGTCTCTTCAAGAGGACAGACTGTGTCACCTTCGACACAAACAGTCCTACTGTACCAAAACACATTAACACCCGAGTGAAGGCTGTTCCTCCTTAAACAGAGTCTGTCATCTTATAGAAAAACAGTTCCACCTTAAAGACTGTGTTGGTGAGAGGAAATTCAAGCCACGCATTGCAATGATAGAAGACAGACTGAGAGAAGCTGCTGCAACAGACCAACATAGAAAAAACAAGCAGGCTTTCTTCTTCTTTTCTTTCATCTTCTTCTGTGTTTCTGTCCTTCCCTGCCCCTCTGTGGCTACTTGCACGGCTCTTTGCTTTTGTGTTTATCACTCTTTCTGTTGTAACTACTGTTGTTTTTTTTTCTGCTCAGATCTGGCATGCCTTTATATTTTCTTGTCTGAGGAGACCATTTGCGTTTTTTAGCTGCACTCTCTTCTTTTGTGTCCCTCCTCTCTGTCCCTGACACACACAGACCCTTCCCCCATCCCACTTGGTTTTTTCCTCTTTCTTTGTTGTTATGTATCTTCTTCTTTTGGAAATGCCAGTGCAATACTTTGCCGTAACCCTTTGTTCAGTTCAGGGTCCTTCAGTTTTCCGCTTAATTTCTCCTATCTGTGTTTCTACACTTTCTTTCTGCATGACTGTTTTAGGTTACAGAAGGTGTAATGTAGTTCATCTGCTGTGTGCATTGACCTTGCGATCGTGTGTGGTATGCTCTGATCTGCTAACACCAAAACACTGTCCCAGAAAACAAGATTAGAAAACAGAAATAGTGAGAGACCTGATGGTGATTTATCTAGTTTTCAACAGATACTTAAGTCTTAATTTTTTTTCTTGCAATATACAGTTAAACCATTGTGTAATCCCAATATAAGTTGGGTTTGGTAAAATTTCTCACACTTCTCTAAATATTTACTTTTTTATCACTTTAGTCACTATCACAGTAAGATGTTTTGTTTAAAATGTTCCATAAATGTTGTAGCTGTTGGAGTTTTGAGCCATGCATTGAGAACATGTAGGGTAGTTTTCACAGAAGCTTTATATGTCTATCATTTTAAGATAATCACATCCTCAATGACTTATAAACTCCTGTAAACCCATGTCATCAGAATGTGACGAGTTGGGATTCTGAAGGGTAGATTTAATGAAAATGTCAAGACACAGCTTAATTATTTTTGGTAAAAGTTCAGAATGTTTCTTATATTACTGAAATTTGCTGATTTTCAACACAGTTGGCCACATGTATCGACTCAGTGCCTCAAGAATCACCAACATCTACACTACCAGTCAAAAGTGGTTTAATATATAATATGACCACGTCTGTGTTCTGATTCTGTGACCTAGTGCTTCTGCTTTGTGCTGATTATGTGACAGACAGTGAATTGCTGAAATAATAATACCAGCCTGCCTTCTGATAAAAGCTGTCAGTGTCTTTCTCCATAATCAGATTTTGAGCAGCTGTATTATAATAGCAGACGAGATACGTTGAAGTGATAGTGTCTTGAGGACATATGTAGAATAATAAAGCAGTATATACCTCAGCAAGCACATCCAGTCAGATCCTTCTTGACTCAAGGAAATAATAATACAGTCATCAGCAGTCTGAGCTTGTTTTTGACTTTATTCAAAGCTTTTTGTGAGCATGTTTACTTATGCTTCATCTGCCCGCTTGTACGACCAAAACAGCGACACCATAGTCTGCTCCTGTTGGGCACCGTACAGCTCTGCCAAGAGTCCAGCGTATGAGCTGTACTCTAAATTAAATAAAAATGTCATCATAAAAAACACAACCTTGTCACAATAAAGAAAGTTATATCAGAAACAAGGTCACTGACAACATACACGGATATTCCTTTCTCATCTCTTTGTCTATCAAGGCTCGGGATGAGTTTGCAGGTAAAGTGGAAATCTCACTTCAGCTTTATTGTCATTTCAACATAGTTGATAAGAACTGATAATCATTCTTTTTCTGAAGTGTGGTTACATAGATTTCTGCAAAGGAAAAGGATGAAGTAGAAGGATAAAGATGGTTCTGCATATTAATATCAAAGTGATTTTTATTTGTTTGGCCTTTGAGCTCACAGTGATCCCCACTTTCTCTTTCAGGTCATTCAAGCAGTATTAACAAATACTGTCCAACCCATCTTTATGCCTCCTACAATAAAACTATTCCATTTTCATCTTTTCATTTGTCCAGATTCCAGTCAAATAACTTATTGCAATGAGTGTTTTGACTGGACATTGTGTATCATGAAGTCCACATCCGATCTGTCTCAGTCCAAGGATGATGATGTTTTTTCTCATCCAAGCTGCAGTCAAAAATATCCTTTCTCAAAAGGGACAGAAATATCAAAAATATATTTATCCGTCATCTTTCAGACTGTCTGTTTCTCTCCCTGAAGTTACAGTTGACTGTCCCTGAAGCATATGTAATTAATTTTTAATGACTGCCTGTATGCAGCTCTTTCTATAGTTCCTACTCTCAGAAGAAACACAAACCTTCTCTCCCACTACTTTGGGGGAATGGATCCACTTATTTGGACAGGCTGGTGCTCATCCATCATTAATGACGTCTCACCATGTTTCATCTGTAGTTTTTCAGATCGGGCATTATCACATATTTGGCATCAGTTCTCAGTGCAAGTACGCAGATACCCAGCAGTTCCTAATGAGATGAGAGAGGATGGCTTCGCTGTGATCCTCCCTGTGGGATACTGAGACAAGTGAAATATTTAGACACAATATGGAGGCCGGTGTGTTGTAGCTGTCACTGGTACCGGATCAGATTGTTGGAGTAGCAGGTCAGATAATGAGACAACAAACTAACAGACTGTCAAGACAATAAAAAAACAGAAAACAGATTACATAGAGACAACTGATTACCTGGCAGAGGGCTATGTCTAATAGAACAAAACCTGCATAGAAAATATCAAGAAAAACAGACACTGAGAAAACACGCAAGTCAGATAATTTTAATGATGTTTACTTTTTGCAGATTAAACAGTGGCCATGTGTTGATTAAAAGAGTCACTTTTCTCCTCTGCTATTACTGTGCCACCATTATCTTCCTCTTCTTTCTCTTCCTTATATCACTTGTCAACCATCTTTCTCCTCCTTTGTTCTCCTCCTCCCCACCTGCCATTTTTCCTTCTGTATGCTCTCCCCACTATTTTCCTCTCCTATTACTCACCCTCTCTTCCTCCTTCACCCCCTCTACTTCTTCATATCCTCCTACTGTCAAATCTTTATACCTTTGTCTTTCCTCCTCACCTGTTTTTTTATCTTCCTCATTCATTCCTACACTTACTTCCTATCTACTCACCCCTTTGTTATTCTTCCTTCCAGGTGGGACTTCGTCCTCTGAACCCCGACGTCTCGCTTCTCTCGGCAGCCTGTTAGATGATCAGCACTGGCACCGTGTAGTACTGGAGAGGCAAAGTGCTCACCTCAACCTCACTGTGGATAAACACACTGAGACAGTTCAAATCCCCGCAGAGTTCAGCCACTGGGACATCGAACAGGTGGGGTGGATCACACTGCCCTTACACAGACACACACCTATGCAAACTTGCTGCAAATAGAAACACACATAGATTTACATAATAATTATGTTTAATTTTTGACATATTATGTGTGATTTCATCATACAGCTGTATGTAGGAGCAGTCCAGAGCCTTGACTCAGAGAATCCAGTCATCTCCACAAGGGACTTCCATGGCTGCCTGGAAAACCTGCTGTACAATGACCTCAACCTGATAGAACAAGCGAAACGCAATGACCACCAAGTTACTGTAATGGTAAACACACTAATACCATGAACACCCAGTGGTCAGTTAGTTGGACACAACAACTACAAAGTTAATGTGGTAAAAAGCCATTAGCACTGCTAGCTAGTCATTAGCTTGTTGTAGCTACACAGTTAGCTAATCTGATACAGTATATCTTATACACCTTTAAGTACAAGTGTAAAGTTGTATTTGTATTTTTTCTCAAATAATCTTTTTGTGAATAATGCAAATGGAGTCATTTGAAGTAACAGATCATTCTTACTGATTCTAACTTTGTAGCTCTGTTTTGTTAAACATTTTTTAATTTAGTGTTTTAGGGTTTTTTGTAGAGCACTTACCCAGCACCATACACCACACAGAAAATGCTGTCAACTGGTTAGAAAAGAAGAGTGGAGCCTGCAGCAGCTGCAGAGCCAGATAGTTTTACAGGAGCTGGTGGAGACCAAATTAAAATATGAGTAAATAATAGACTTAATTCAGGAGACTAATACATCGTTCATACAGAATGCTAATGTTCGTGTGTGTTTGCCTGATTGTCAATAGGTAACTGTTTACTCATAAATCATTCCTGACAATATAATTTGAGAATAATGAGTCAGGACTATGTGTCTCTTTGTGTATTTGGGATTTGTTTTACCTCATAGTGGCTAAAAATCGAGAATGCAGCATTAACCTGGCTGAGCATGTAGTGCACTGCAGCCTTCTACATTAACTCACTGCTCTTTGTCTTGGGCATTTTGTTTATCTACAAAAAATTGTGACCACATTAGTGGTAACTCAAAGTTCACAACCATACCCAAGCCTGCATGTCAGCCAGGGCAAGAAACTCTAATTTGGCTGCTATACAAATGTGACACACTTTATTCACCACAAAACATATCTGAAGCTCTGTTTGTTTTAGGTTTCATTCATCCAATTCACTGCAACCTCAGCTTTACCCCTTCTTCTGTGTCTCTGCTCCATTGCAGGCACTGCTGCTCAGTCCTCAGTTACTTTTCTGGTAACATATATAGAGTTGTTTTTTATTCTTCTGCATCGTGATGATGACAGATCGTATAAATCATTTGGTGAAAGCAAAGTGCTTTGATGTTCCGCTCCTCAAACACTGTGGGCTCTGGGCTTCTATATGAGAGAGAATACAGCATCAGTAGCTGGAGCCACACCACCCTCTGTAAAAAAAAAAAAACTGCAGGCTACAGAATTCTTGTCATTCTGCTTTGTGTTTTGTGATTTGCTTATTAGAAGTTTTTCTAACGAGCACCATGAGGACATACATTCACTGACAGTTCTCCAATGCTAACCAAATCTTCACATGCATAAATAACTACAGATCACTGTCCTAAGTATATGAGGTTATGAGCACATACAGGTGTGTTCATCCATGCTGACATCCTGAGAGCGCCACTGGCAAATCATGTGGATGCTGCTGCTAGTGAGCTGTGAGCTGCTGGCTGGCTAATGAAGCTGTGCAGCACTTAACAAGGACAGTGAGTGATGAGAGGATGAAGGAGAGTAGGCGATGGCTGGACTTTCAGTAACGCTTCCTTGTCTTTGAAATTAGAGCCCTTTCTACAATGACAGTAAGTGG